GCAATTCCAAGCGATGGGAACATCCGGAAAAAAGAACATGAAAAGCTTGAGAAATACCAAGGTCTCAGAGAGGAGCTGGAGAGGGCCTGGAGGGTAAAGGTGACAGTAGTGCCCGTGGTGATCGGTGCACTTGGGGCAGTGACCCCGAAGCTAGAAGAGTGGTTACAGCGGATCCCTGGAACAACCTCGGACATCTCGGTCCAGAAATGTGCAGTGCTAGGAACAGCAAAGATACTGCGCAGAACCCTCAAGCTCCCAGGCCTCTGGTAGAGGACCCGAGCTTAGAGAGGAATAACCGCCCGCGGAGGGCCAAAGGTGAGTGGACAATTTTATATATATATATATATATATATATATACAGATTCATTTATTTGCCATTTGCAGTAAAACCACATAGGAAAGAGATGTGCAAGACTACCCCAGTGTGCACCAGACGACACACTGCCATTGCCCTTTAGATATATATATCTAAAGGGCAATGTCTTCTTACCTTGGAAGTCTTGTGAAAATCATGTGATTTTCTTTTAAAACATGAATGCTTTTCTAACCAATCTAATTATTTGTTCGGATAATACGGACAGCTATAATTATTGACTAATTGTGATGGCAGTAGATGGAAATACATCATGGAGGTGTGTTTGTGTAAGTAGGGTGGGTGTTATTGCCTTTATATAATTGCTTGTAAGTAAAATGGAACTTTTTAATTCTCCTGTAAATCAAGTAATGGAGGGTACTAGGTTTGAAAAATGTATCTGCAAGGTTAATTTTGTGGAATCGTGACATCAGACATACTGGGATACCGTGCTCTGAGATTGGGGTGTGGTGAAAATAAGTTTGGGGGAGTAATAATGCATTTGTATTGAAAGGTTTTTTTAGTAATGGGTTATATAAAAAATAGAAGAGTAATTTATGGTAACACTGAGTAATGTGAAAAGCAGAAGTCATTAAATGATCTGAGTTCAATTGTAGAGTCAATGCACTAGGACAGTATTGTATTTCTAATTACTAACAATTAAATGTATCATTTACCAAGTTTGGGGGGTTGTTGGTAGGAGTTGTATGTGTATACACTAGGTTGGGGGTGGTTGAAATTTTTATAGATTGAGTTAGTGTATCATAGTCTGGTGGTGTTTTGTTATAGTGTTTTAGTTGTAATGATGAATTCAAATAAATTAATAGACTATAAAGTTTGGTATAGTAAGGGTATTATGATTTTTATATTAGGTTTGGTTGTTGTCTTGTGAATAAATTGTTTTATGAATTTCTGCGATAAGTTATGACAGTTAAGGTTTTGTAGTGTAGTTTTTAAGTGGGGGTGACAATTAGGATAACAATGAATTAGGTTGTTTTTGATTTGTTAATAATTTGATAATCGTAAGGTTTGGTTGTGTTACATTAAGTTAATTGATGTTTATACAGTTTTTGATGGATGGTTAGGTTTGATAATGTTGAAGGATTTTAAGTTAATATTATTATTAGTATATGGATTAAAATTGTGATATTTGAAATAAAAAAACAAAATATGTCAAGGTTAAGTCTCAAAGAAGAATAGTAGTTATAGATGTTATTTGGGTAGATATCAATATAATAGTTATTATGGGATTACTGTAGGGATCTCACTACTTGGTTTTAAATATGTACTATGTCGAAGGTTATCATGTGGGGTTTATATACATGGTCACTTTATACATGGTTACATAGATTATTTGGGTGGATAAAAACAATCATAACTGAGATAACCCAAATACTTACCACAATCAATTGAAGGTGCAATATACTGCTAATTATATTATATGTAATAATATTAAGGTGGAGGGGTGGTTATGTGTTAGTGTTGGTATTGTGGGATAATATTTGGTGGGGGGTGTGGTGGGGGAGTTATAGGAGAGGGGGGGGAGTAATTATGTTGAGTGATTAATGATATGATAGTAATGAGTGTTAAATATTGTGTAATGGTGTGAAATTTTGGTTTGATGTGAGTGTAATTTATGGTGAATATGTGGGAATTATGGGTTGTGTGAGGTATTAGTTATGATTGTATGTTTGGTGGTGGTGTGGGTAAGGATTTGGGGGGGGGGGGGTTTGATGGGTAAGGGTGTTGGTTGTGGGTTTGTTGGTGTGTTTTTTGATTATTGGGTTATGTTAATTGTAGGATTTGAGGTGTGAGAGTAGGATTGTGGGTGGGGGGGTTGTAGGGATTTATATTTGGAGTTGGTATTTGTGGTATCTAATGAATGAGGTATTGAGTTGGAGGGGGGGGGGGGGGGATGTTAGGGAGTGTAGTTGGGGGGTGTGGGATAATGTAGGGGATGGTGAGCTTGTTAGGGGGTAATGGTGGTAGGTTGGTGTTGGGTTGAGATGAGATACGTTATGAATTATATGGTGGGTGTTTTTGATTGGTTAATGTGTAAATTGGTTAAGTTGTGGGGGTGGGGTTGGGTGGGGTGGGGGGGAGGAAGATGGTATGTTGGTAAAGGGGGGTGTTTGTTATATTTTGTGGTGAGGTTGATTGTTTAGTTGGTTGGGAAGTTAAAATATGGATATGGGGGGGGTAGGGATGAAGATGTTTTTGAAATTTTTGGGGGTTGGGTGTTATGGTTGTGGGGGTGGTTGTGAGGTGTGATGGTTGGGGAAGTCGGGGATGGTAGAGTTATTGGGTAGAAGTGATTAGTGGGTAGTGTGGGGATAGGGAGAGGGGGAGTATAGGTGGGGGGGAAGGGAGGGGGGTAGGATGATTGTAGTTGTTTTAATTGGAAGGGGTAGGTGGGATAGGTGAGGTTGATTGAATAGGATGTGGGGTTGTTTATGAAGTTCGAGTATGGATTATGAAATGGTGGAGGAGTGGACGGGTGGGAAATATTTGTAAGGATGGGATGTTATGGGGGGTGTGTTTTGTGGAAAGAGAAATTGGGAAGTGGGTAAAATGATTTGGTTTGGGGGAAGGGGGGTAGGTTTTATTGATTGGTGGTTGGTATGGTTTAAGTGTATGGGTGATATTAGAATTAGTAGGGAAGGGGGGGATAGGGAGTGGATGATATATGGTGGAATTGTTGGTGTGAGGGAAGGTGGTGAGGGGGGAGATTGATGTGTTGGTTGGGGGGGTTTTGGGGAAGGATGGGGGGTATTGTTTTGATGATGGGTGTGGAGATATTGTAGGAATTGGGTTGTTGTATGGAAAGGGTTTGTGTGTGTGAGTTTTTTAGGATGGGAGGATGGGGGATATAGGGGGGGTGAAGATAGGAGAGGAAAGTGGGGGGGGTTCTAGGGATTTGATTGTTTGTTGAGGGTTTTGTTTTTTGTTTGTGTTTGTGTGTGTTTTTTGTGGTCCAACAATCAAATTTGGCCAGCATCCGAATGGCGGGAGGTTTTTATCTCTCACTTCTCTCTTAGGGGTAATAGAAATGTGGGAGCATGTGAATGATGGGGTAGAATAGTTTTAGTTGCTGTTAATAGCTATGATAATGGACTGGTAACGGTGTGGTTAAGTGGGGTGTTTAATGGATAATATGTTAAAATATAGTAGTATTAGTAGGGTATAGGAAAAAAAAATAAGGTGATACGGTTATCCTAGGGATAGTATGTATAAGGATTAAATACTGGAAAAGAGATTATAAATAATGTGTAAGGGGTTTGGAGATGATTTTGTGTTGTTAGTGGTTTTAAGATGTTAAATGAGAGGGGGTTGGGGAAAGGAATAATAAGACGGATGTTAATATGAAAGTGTGTAGTAATTATATTTGGGATGGGTGGGTTAGAATTTAAATTAGGTGGATAGTATGGTGATTAAATAATGGTAGGGATAAGATTGTAGAAAAATAAAGGGGGTGGTGTGGGAAATAGGTTGTAATTGGGTTTAAAGAAATTAAGTGAAATGTAGGGTAGGGTATAAGTGAAAGAATAGGGGTGGAGGATGGGTGGAATTAAAGGAAAGATTAGTTGAAAAATGATGAGTGTTTGGTGGTGAGAGTATGGTGGAATAGTGATATGAAGTAATAAGGGGGGATGGGAGGGGTGGGGGGTGTGAGGGGGAAGAGTGAGAGAGGGGGGGAGTGGAAGGGGAAGGGATAAGGTGGTGTGAAGATGGTGAGGTAAGGTTGAATTGAAAGTTATTGATGGATTAATTGGGTTGGTATGATGGTGTATAATATTAGGTTGTGATAGGTGGTTATTGAAGGGGTGGAGTGGGAGAAGATGGTGGGAGATAAGAAAGATAATAATAGATAGGAATATCTTGAAGTGAGACATTATATGTTATACGCATTCAGTTTTTGGAATTACTAAATGATTTTTATGGTTGTGGTTTAGTAAGGGTATGTGAGATAGAATATATAGTGGTAATCGGGAGATATCTTCTGTTAAAGTGATTTAGTAAGTTAAGATGGGGATGGGTGTTGGGGGGTTAAAGCAATGATTGGTTAGTGGTGATTAGTGGTTGGGTTATTAAGTAAGGTATGAAGATATAATTGGGGGAATAATGTGGTGATATGGGGAATATAAATGGCTGGAGAAGATGTGAATGTGAAAGGGATGGGGGTATTGAATTTAGTGAAGTGGAGGAGGTGGGATATGGGGGGAGGGGTGTAGAGGGGGGAATGTGGGAAGATTGGGGGAGGAATATGGAAATGAGTGGGGATTAGTTGGAAAGGTGTGAAAGGGGAAAGGGGTGTGGGGTATTAGGATTGATGGAATGGTGAATGGGGGGGGGATGGGTGGAGGTGGAGGGAGGGGGTTGATTGAATGGAGGGGATATGGGGGGGGGGGAGGGGGTAAGATGGAGGGGAGTAGGGGGAGGGATTAATGGGTAGGGGGGGGGGAGAAGAGGGGGGAAAGTGTAATTGAAGGGGGGAGGGGAGATGGTTGGGGGAATGTGGAAATAGGTGAGGTGAAGATTGGTGAAGGTATGGTGAGGAATGGGGGGTGTATGGGGGGGGGAAGGTGGGGGGGGGGTAGGATAAAGGGTATGGGGAAGGATGGTGATGGTAAGGGAGAAAGGAGGGTGAATGGAGGGGGTGGAAATGAGAGATGATGAGGGGGATGGGGGGGGAGATGGGGGTGGGTGGGTGGGGAAGGTGAATGGTGGATGGGGTAATGTGATGGGAATGGGGAGGAATGGGGGGATGTAAGGTGTAGAGGGAGAGGTGGGAGGAAGAGGGGTGGGGTTAGGTGGGAGGGGAGGGGGGGGGGGGAGGGGAGAAGAGAGATGGTATAATGAATGGGGATAGGAGGGGTGGGGAGGATGAAGGAGAAATGTGGGAGGAATGTTAGGGGATGGGAATGAAGAGGGGGTGAGGGAGGAGAAAAGGGGGGTAAAAGGAATAGGTGGGTATAAGAGGGGGATGGGGGGGGGGGAGTTATGAAGGGGGGGATAAAGGAGGGAGGATGGAGAGGTGGGGTAAGAGGGTGGAGGAGGGAATGGGATGGGGTGGGGGGGGGGAGGGGGGATGGATGGGTTGGGGGTAGTGTTGAGTGTAAATAAGTGGATTGTGTGATTTGAGTGGGTTTGGGAGGAGGGATTAAGGAGTGTTAATTAGTAGAGGGGGGTATGTTGAGAAGTCGATTAGATGAGTGGTTGGTTATAGTGGAGAATAAGGGAGTGGATGGTTGAATGTTGAGGGGATGGGGATGGTTAACAAGGTGTAAATATGAGAAATTATGGGTGGTTTTGGTATGGGTTGGTGGGGGGGGGTGGTTTTAAGGGTAGGGGGGGGGTGTTGGGGATGGTTGTGAGGTATGGAGATTATTTGATTGTTGATTTGGTATATTTTGTGAAGGGTTATTATATGGGTGTAGTGTTGGGTAAAATGATGGGTGAATTGTGTTAGGGGGGGTGTTGTTTTATGGGTGGTGTTAGTAATTGGATAAGATAATTGGAGATGTAGGAAGTTTTTGTGGGTTTTTTTTATTGAGTGTGGGTGGTTGATTTGTTTATTTTGTTGAGGGTGTTGATAAGTTTTTAATAAGTGAGAATTGATTGTGATGTTATTGTTTGTGTGGTTGGGTGTTGTATGGGTGATGTGGGGTATTAGATTATCATTAGAATTGTTTGTTTTTTTGGATTGGTAAAAGTTCGTATTAAAAATTGAATAGTGAATTTTGTGGTGTTATGTAGTGTAGATGGTGATTTTTTTGGGTGTGGTTAATGGTTTTTGATGGGGGTGGGGGTGGGTGATGGGGGGAGTGGGTATAGTAGAGGTTTGTGGGTGGAGATGGGTGTAATAGGATAAATTGAGAGGGTATTTGTATGTGTTATGTGTGTGATGGATTTATATAAAAATATATGGGTGTTGGTAGGTTGAAGAATGAGAGTTATATAGGGAAATGATTAGAATCAGGTAATTTATAAGTAATGTATATATTTTATTGATGTAAGTTGGTTTGTTTGGTTTGGTATTGGTTAAAAAGTGATGATTGAAATGGGGTGGAAATTGGGGGGGGAGAAGGTGTAAAAGGGGGGGAGATTTTGGTAGGGGAAGTTTTTTTTTTTGGGTTATTATGTATGGGTGTATGAAAGGTTTGTGGGTGGGGTAGTGGGTGGGTTGGTTTTGGTATTAGGGTTTTGGGTGTGGGGGGTGGGTTGGGTGGAGTTTTTTTTGTGTTGTTTGGGTTGTAGGGGGGGGGGGGGGTTGTGGGAAATGGATGGGTATGAGTAGGGATTTTGATTGGGAAATGAGGGATGATGAATGATAACAAAATTGGTTGTTGGATTAAATTATGGTTTTGGGTATGAGGGGGAGAGTTTAGAGTTTAAAATTGTATTTGGTTGTGTGTGTGAAATTTGTATGTGTAATGTGTTGATAGAAGTGTAATTTGTGTGTAATTTGTGAGTGGTGTGTTATTTTATTAATGTTTTGTAAAATAGTATAGTTGTTGTATGCGGAGTAAGGTTTGTGTATTGTGTGTATTAATGTGTGTGTTAAAAATTTTATTTGGTGTTGTATTGTGTGTAATTTGTGGGGGGTATAAGTGTATTTGTTGTGTAATATTTGTGTTAATTTGATGTTTAATGTGATTTTAATTTTGTGTGTTAATTGTGTGTAGTGTGAGTGTTGATTTGTTAATGTGTGTATTGGTTGGGTGTTTTGGGGTATGGTTTAAGTTATGTGTGGGTTGGGAGTGGGAGGTTTTTTAAGGTGGAAGAGGTTGATTTAGGGGGGTTAAGGTTGGAGGTGAGGGGGGTTGGGGAGGGGGGGGTGGGTGTTTGTGGGTTTGGTAGGGGGTTTGGGTGTAGGAGTGTGAATGGTGTGGTTAAATTAGGATTGAGGTAGATGTTGAAGGTGGTTATGATGGATATAGGTGATTAGTATTGTGGAGGGTTTGTATGTGGTTGGGTGGTGGTGTTGAGGTGTGGTTTTGGTGGTGTTGGTATTTGGTGTGTATAGGGTGGTGGTGTATGAGTGAAGGAGGGGGGGTGGGGGTTAAGTGTATGGTAGATTTGGAAGGTGGGATAGATTAGGATAATGTGTTTGGTGGGGGGAGAAGGTTTATGAGGTTGGTGGGGGGGGAAGGTGTAGGGGTATTTGGGGGGGTTGTATAAGTAGGTGATGTATGATGGGTAGTATAATAAGGATTGATGGGGAAGAGAGAGTGAGGGAAGAGGGAGGGATGTTAGGGTATGTATTATGAGGTTAGTTAGGATAGGAGTAGGTTAGATATTGAAGGGGAGGTGGTGGTTGGGGGAGGGGGGGATTTGGGGGTGGGGGGGAGAGGGGGATTGGGGGGTGTGAGGGGGGGGGGGTGGGGGTGGGGGGGGTGGGGGGGGGTGGGGGTTAGGGGGGGAGGGGGGGGGTCGGGGGTGGGGGAGGGAGGAAAGGGAGTAGGGGTGGGGAAATGGATTGGAGGGGGGGATTGGGTAATTGTTGTAGTTTTGTTGTAATTTGTTTTTATTTGGGTGGTAGGGGTTTGTAATGTGTTTGGGGAGGGGGGTGTATAATGTGTGTGTAGTTTGTTTATGTTTATTGTGTATAGTGTTGAATTATTGTGTAAATTGGTTGTTGATGTGTGGTTTTTGTGGGGGTTGAGGTTTATAAATGGTAGAGGGAGGTTGAGAGGAAATATATATAATATATATATAGTTTATATTATTTAGATATATTATTTATTATTAGGGGTGGGTTGGTTTTTGGGTGTGGGGGGGGGGGGGGTGGGGGGGGGGGGGGGGGGGGTTGTTGATTTTTTGTTTGGGGTTTGAGAGGGAATTGAGTTTATGTGGGGGAGTGAGTAAGTAAATGGGAGAAGGGGGGTGAGTGAAGGTAGAGAGAGGTGAGATAGGGGAGTAGAGTGGAGAGAGAGGGGGGGAAAGAGATAGAAGAGAGAAGAGGGGGGAGAGAGTTAGAGGAGAGAGAGGGGAGAGTGAGAGAGGGGGTAGAAGAGAGTGGAGATGAGAGAGAGGGTTTGATATTTGATGGGTTATTGATATTTTGGGTTTTGTAGTTTGGTTTAGTTTTATGATTTTAATAGTATTAGTTTGGATTTTGTTTTATTTTGGAATTTTTGATTTGAATATATAGTAGGTTGTGTATATGGGGGGGAGTTTTGAATATGGAGGTTATGGTGTGATGGGGGGGTATGTAATAGGTTGGGGGTGGGAATGGGAGGGATGGGGGAGGTGAATATGGGGGGGGGGGGGGGTATGAGTATGATATTTTGTTTGTGAGGTGTTAGGAAGGGGTTGGGAGAGTATGGATGGTGGGGTTGTTATTAGGGGGTATGGGAAGGATTGGGTAATGAAGGGATGGGTTGATGTATATTTGGATGGGGGGGTGTTTTTAGGTTAGTATGTTTTAGGATTTGTAATGTTGTAAGAATAGGGGGGGGTTGGTATGGATAATATTGTTTTGTGAATGTTGGTTGGTTATATAGGGGAAAGTGAAAGGGGGGTGACTTTTTGGTTGAAGATATTTAGTATAGGAGGGAAGAGGGTTGGAGAATAAAGGAAATTTGGGGAAGGGGATTAGAGGGGGAAGAGAATATTAGGATATGTGGTAATTGAAATATGTAGAAGAGAGTTGTATTCATATTTTTGTTTTTATTTTTAGGATTGAAAGGGATTTAAGGATTAAGTTATTGGGTATTGATATAGATGGTAGTTTGTGATTGGTACAGGTGAGCGGTGGGAGTCTTAGGAGATGTTATAGAAGTTGGTATGGTTTTGTAGAGGGGGAGGGGTTTGTAATGTTATTAATGATTGGTTAGAGTAGTGGGAGAGGAGGAGAGAGAGAAGTGGGAAATAGAGATGGTAGAGAGGGGGGGTGAGAGGTGTTTATGGGGGAGAGGGGGGGAGAGATGAAAGGGGAGAGGGGGGGGAATTGGGAGGGAGAAAAGTGATAATTTATGGGTGATTGGGGGAGATAGAGGGGGGAAAGAGAGTGGAGAGGGATGGGGAGAAATAGGGGAGAGAGATAGGGAGGGGGGTGGAGAGGGAGGGGGGGAAAGAGTTAGAGAGAGGGAAGAGATTGGAGTAGTGGGGAAGAGAGGGGGATAAACAAAGGGAAAGAGGGGGGGAGAGAAAGATAGATTTGGGGGAGGGGTTGAGAAGGTTTGAGATTAAGCTGTAAATTTATAGGGTAGGGTTGATCTATTAGGGGGGGGGAGGGAGAAGGTGGTTTAGAGGTTAGGGTGGGGGGGGGGTAGGGTAGAGGGATAGTAGGGGGGTATGTTTGGTATTTAGTTGGGTTTGGTGTGGTGTGGGGGGGATGGTAGAGGAGAATTTATATTGGGTTTATTGGTGAAGGGGGTGTTTTGCTTTGGGTTTTGTTTGTGTGTTGGGGAGGTGGTGTAGTTTGTGTTAATGTTTTTTGGTTTAGGATTGAATTATTGCGAAAACAACTGGGGTGAAGAGAAAAAAAACTGTTGGGGTTATATGGAGAGGAGGTTTTGGGGGGGTAAGGGGGATTTTACTTTAATAAATTGGTTTTGATTTTGTTTTATGTGTGTTTGGAAGGGTGTGGTAGTGGATTGGTTGGAAAGTGGTAGAGTAGAGAGGAAGATGATAGGGGGGGGGGATTGGGGGGAATCTGTGATGTTAGAGGTTATTGGGTTAGAAGGGGTGTAAGGGGGAGTTTTGGTATTTTTTTTGTTGGATGTTATAGGATTAGGTAATTGATATAAGGGGAGTTGGGGTTGGGGTGAAGATAGTTGTTTTTGTTGGATATGGATGTTTTATTGTGGGGTGTGGGTTTGGGGTGGTATGTTGGGTATTTTTGTTTTGTTTGGGTTGGGTGGTGTGTTTTTAATTGTTTGTATGGTTTTATTTTTTTTTTTATTTTGTATGGTATGATTGTGTTTGATAGGGGGGGTGGAGTGAGGGTTTTTTTTTTTTTTTTTTTTTTTTTTTTTTTTTTTTATTAGTTAGGTGGTGGGGGGGTGTGTTGGTAGAGTGAAGTGGTTGTTTATTGTTGAGGTTTAGATGGGAGGGGTTGGGGTTGATTTTTTGGGGGGATGAATTTTTGATTTTGGGGATTATAGGGGTGGGGGGAGGGTTTAGGTTTGTTTATGTTTGTATCAGGGATCGTTGTGCAGTGTCATGATTTCGTTTGGGATGATGAAAGTATGTTGAATTCATGTAATTAATAATATAAATTGAGGGTTTTTTTATTTTGTTAAATTATGGGTCTGGGGATTTTTGGATATGGTTGTGTGAAGTGGTGTTAATGTTATAGTTTTTTAGTTGTATTATTGTGTGGGAGGTAATGGATTGAAGAGGGTGTTGTTGTTGATTTTTGTGGTAATGGGGTATAGTGTTTTTTGTATTTGTTTTGTTTGTTAGTTTTTTTTGTGGGTTGTGAAAGAGAAATATGGAAAGGTAATGGTAAAAAGTTGATTTATGGGTGAGAGGGGTAATATGATAATGTAGCTGTAAGGGGTGGGGGGGGAAGGGATGATGAATTGAAAGGAATGAAAAAGTATGTGGGTATAAGTTATGTGTTGGTGAATGTTGGGGTTATGGATGGGATTTATATTAAAGGAGAGTTGGGGGTAAGAAGTATGTGGATTTTGGGTGTAGAATTATGGGGTGATGTGATATAAGGATGGAGGGTTTAGGTTATGGAGGGTTTAGGTTATGTGGTTATGTGGGTGTTGGGTGATGATATGTTATGTTGGGATATTGGGAGGGGGAAAGGTGTGTGGTGATATGAATAAGAAATGTTATGTTAGATGGTAATGATATGTGGATGTATGAAGTGTTTGTGGAGATGGTGGTTTTTAGGGTATGATAAGGAAAGGTGTGGGGAATGGAAGTAGGGAGTTGGTATAGATATGATAGAATGGTGAGAAGTGATGATATTTGGTTAATGAGGAGGTTGTGGGGTAGATAAATGTTGGAGTTAAGTTGGGAGTTAGGAAGGTGATGGTTGGTAAAGGATTGGGGATGGAAAAGAATTAGTAAGAATTGTTAAGGGAGAGAATATTATGGGTTGAGATGGGATGATGATGGGAGGAGTTGTGTTGGGGGATGTGGGTTATTGGATGGTGATATGATATGTTGGGATGGGGGTGGGTATAATGTGGTGAATTTATAATGAGAAGGGGGTATGTTATGAGAAATTGTAGGAAGGGATAGTATATAATTAAGGGATATGAAGGGTGGGTGGTAATTTTAAGTAGTAGATTGGAATATATATGGGTGATGGGTTGGAGGGTTGGGGGTATTGTGATTATGGAGAGTTGGGTAGGAGGGGATTTAGAGTGGGGTTGGGGGTTGTAATAAAGGTGGATTTGGGATTGAAGAGAGATATTGGTAATGATTTGGGGGGTGAGTAATTGGTGTGGAGAGGGAAAATAGTAGGGGAGGATGTGGAAGATTAAAGAGTTGAATTGGTTGGGTAATGTAGGGAGTGGTGTAAGAAGATGTTAGGTGATTTGTGATGGATAAGAAGAGTATGGGTGGTATGATTGAGGGTAGAATTTGAGTGTGTGTATGAGTAGAGAGGTGAATTTATTAATGGTGAGTATGAATGGTATGAGGGTGGGATGGAGGGAGAGTGTTTGGTGATGGTGGGGGTAGAGTGTGGATTGGTGGAATATATGTTGGTGAGATAGAAATGTGGGTTATTGTGATGTAGGGGTGGTATGGGTATTGGTGAGAGGGTGTAATATGGATTTGGGATTAAGAGTTATGGGTAGTGGTTTGAGGATTAGGAATTTGTAAGAATGAGTGGTTGGATGGAAGTTGTTGAAGGAGATTGGGATTGTTATTGGAAAGGATTGGTTATGAGTAGAAAGGAATGGGTGATTGTAAAGGATGGTTGTTGATGGGGAATTTGGTTGTGTGGATGTAATAGTGGGGTTTTAGAGTTTGAGAAGGTAATGGATGGGGGGGAATGAAATTTGAATGATAAAGGTGTAGGGTAGGTTGAAGGTTTGTTGGTGGAAGTGTAGTGGTGGGGGTGTGAATAGGGAATGGTAGTTTATGAATTTAGAATGTTAGTATGATGGGTGTTGGAATTTTAGGTGGTAGGTAGATGGGTTGGGAGATGATGGGGAGTGTGGTGGTGGGAGGGTGGTGTGAAATGATGGGTGTTATTGAAAAGTATAGATGGGTAATAAGTGATGTTATGTTGGGGAGGTGAGATTGTTGGAAGTAATTGGGAGTGTTTGGGGGGGAAGTATGTATGATATGTGATAGATGATGGGAGGATATGTTATGATAGGTGATAATGTGAGTGTGTGGAAATGTGTGTAATATAATGTATTGTAAATTGGGGAGGGGGGGATTTGTGGATAAGGTGTATGAATTATATGTTAGGATGGGGATTGTGGAGGGATGGGTTGGAAGTATGGGTTAGAATGTTAATTGGGAGGGATGTGGGGTATGTTTATGAGGGGGTGTGGTGGGGAGGGTTTAAAATTGGAGTTGGGGGTTTAGAAGAATTTGGGGGGGTTTTGGTGAGGAGTTGTGAAGGGGGGTAGGAATTGTATGTAAGTAAGTTGGGGTTGGGATTTAATTAAGGTATGAGGGGGGGGTGTATTTGGGATGTGGTATGAAGGGGGGGGTAGGGGATTGGAATTGAGTGGGTTATGAAGTTTTTTGTTATGGTTTTGAGGGTTTTGTAATTGGGAGATGTGTGTGGTGAGGGTGTGGGAAGGGGTGGGGTTTGGGGTATGGTGGGAAAGGGGGGTGAGGGATAGAGGGGATGGGTAAAAGTTGAGTGTTGTGGGGGGTATGAGTGAAAAGGTTATTAAGAGGTATGAGAGGAATGTTTGGGGATGGGAGTGGTTATGATTTGTGTGTAGGAGATGTTTAAAGATTGAGAAATGGAGAGAGGGTGTGGTAAAGTGAGGTGTGTGGGGTGTTAAGAAAAGTGGGAATTTGGGGTGGGGTATTTTGGGTGTGTGTTGGGTGTGTGTTGTGTGTGTAAGGAGGGGGTGTGGAGGTGAGGAGAAGTATAGTAAGTGGAGGGGGGGGTAAAGGGATGTTGATAGTAGGGAAGTTGTTGTGGATTGGGGAGGTGGTGGAGTTGATTTAGAAGGGGTTATGGAGGAAGGGGGGTGGAGGAGAAGGATAGTGAAGGGGGAGGTTAAGGAGGGATTATTGTGTAGAATATGGGGGTTGTAGGATTTTAGTGGTAAGAGAAGGGGTTAGATGGTATAGGGTGGGGGGGTGAGGTTATTGAGGGTTATGAGAAGTGGGAGAAGGGTGTGTTAGATTATGTTGGTGAATTTGGATGGAGAGAGGTTGGGAGGGGGTGGAAATTTGTGGGAGGGGTGGAAAATAATGTTTTGGATTGTTTGGGGTGTGGATGGGGGGTAGAGATATATGAGGTTTGTAATGTAGGGATATATGGTTAGTGGAGATGAGGTGAGTTGGGTTATGTGGGAGGGGTGTGTGGTGAGATTGGAATGGTGAGTATGGGTTATGGAAGGGTTGAGGTGGGGTGGTGGTAAAAGGGGGGGGGGCGGAGGAGGTGATTATGGAGAGAATATTAGGTTATGGGTGGTGTTGAAGGGGTGTAATGGGGGTGTTGATGTGAGTGTATTGGAGTGTAAGTGTTAGAGATAGGTGATAGGGAGTGATGTATTACTGAATAATAGTTTGGGTGTGTGTGATCTGTGTATGGTTGGTAGTGATTGATGTAATGATTGGGTAGAAGCTTAAAATTGTATGGGGGTTAGGTAGTTGGGGTTTGGGATGTGGAGGAGGGGGGGTGTTTAGGTGATAGTGTGATTAGTAGTATTATTGGTAAGTATGGTTTATGGTGGGAGGGGGGTGAAGGTGTTGTATTGTGGGGGGGGGATGTGGGGGGTATTGATGAGAATGGGATTGGTGATTAAGATATGGGGGGGGTTGTGTTGGTGGTGATGAAAATTGTTTAGAGGTATGGGTGGGGATGGTGTAATTATTTTTGGTAGTTTGATTGGGGAGGGAAGTGGTGAGGTATTAGTGGAGGTTGGTTAATAGAGATATTATGGATGAGAAAGGTAATGGGGATAATAAAAATATTAGGTGGATGGGGTGGGGTAGAATATATAGGTGTAAGTGTGTTGTGGGGATGGGGTGGGAGGGGGGTTAGGGGGAGGTGGAAGGGAGGGGGATAGAGGGGTATTGTGTGAGGTATGTTGGATATTAAATATATGGTGGTAGGGGGATGGGAAGATAGGGAGATTGAGTAGATTGATAATTGTGGGGTGGTGGTGTGTGTGTGGTTAGGTGTGGATAAGTTTGGGTGGGGTTGGGTGGGGGATGATGGTGGTGGGGGGAATTTGTGTGTTATGTAAGTGGTTGTAATGTGTGTAATGTTTGGTGTAATGGTTGTAATTGGGAGAATGAGTGGTATGAAGTATTTGTGTTTAGTGGGTGTTTAGGTTGAATTGTGAGGATAGTTTTATTTGGGGGTTGGAAAGGATTGTGGGGGGGGGGGAATGTGGTGTGTTGGGGTGGGGTAGGTTGGGGGTGGGGTGGGGGGTGGATGGTTTGTTGGGATAGGGTGTGTATGTAATTGTAGAGGTTTGGAGTGGAGTAGGATTGGGTTTGGGGTGGTTGAGTAGGGATGATTGTGTGGGATTAGTGTGATATGGATGGAAATGTTGAAGTGGATAGGGTGGGGGATGTTGGGAGGGGGTTTGGTTTGGTTATAGTGGGGGATTGGTTAGTTGTTAGGGGAGATGTTAGGGATTTTTTTAGGGGAGATGGATATTTTGAGAGAGATGTTGTGTAATGAATAGTTAATGTGTGAGGGTGGTTGGGGGTTAAGGGGTGAGGGGGTGAGGGTGGGTGGTAGAAGAGAGATAGGTATTGGTGATTAGAATTTAGGGTAGTGATTATATTTTGTGAAGGATTGTATAATTGTTTGGAGGTGATGGAAGTAAAATGGAAGTTGTGGTTGATATGGTTAGGCTGAAGATGTGTGGTTAAATTTTTGGGGTTAGTTTTTAGGGGTTGATGGTAGATGGTTTGGTGTGTATGTGTGTAATAGGATGTAGAGAAGATTGTATTAGTGAAGGGGGTTTGGGTAATGTTTGGTTGGGAAAGGTGAATTTGAGGGTTGGTAAGGTGGGTATGGGTTATGGGTGGGGGGATGGTTTTTAGTAGTGATTTGGTAATGAGGGGAGGGGTAAGAGGGGAGATGGATGGGTAAATGATATTGGAGAAATGAAATGGGGTGTTATTGTTAGATTTGGATGTGATGGTTGAATTTGTAGGGGGGGGTGGAGGGGGTTTGAGGGGAAGTGGTTTTGTAGAGGTTGAGTGTTAGATGAGGGAGGGTAGTTTTTATTAGTGAAGTTGGTGAAGGTGAGGTTGGGAGGTTATGAAGGTTTGGTAAGGTGTTGGTTAGGGTATTGATAGGGTGAGGTGTTGGTATGGTAAAAGGGGATGGTAGTGGATGTGTATATGTAAATGGTGGGGAGGTGAGTGGTGTATTGGGGGGATGTTGTGGGAGTTTGTTTTGTAGTAAGAGTTGTATTTAGTTGATGTGTGTGGTGAGGTGTAGGGGATGGGTTTTTTGGATGTGGGGTGTTTGGAGTTGTTATTGGGGGTATATGTGGGATGTTTGTGTGTTTTTTTTTTTTTTTGGGGAATAGATAGGGGGAAAGAAGAGGAGGGGTGAAAGAGAGTTGAGAGGGAAGAGTAATGTGGAATGGGTGAGGGTGGGGGAGGAGATGGTGAGGGAGGGGAAGTGATAGGGATATGGGAGGGTAAGTGTGGGAAGTGGGGGGGAAGGGTGAAGAGGGTTAATAGATGAGTGAGGAGGGGGATAGGAAAAGTGGGATAAGTGATAATAGGATAGTAGGGATAAGGGTAAAGAATGAAAGAGAATAGAAGAGAGTGTTAAGGGGGTGGGAGATTGAGGGGATGGGGAGGGGGGAAGGTGGGTAATGAGAGGGTTGGGAATAGGAATAATAATAGGGAAGAGGAAAGGGGAGTAATAATATGGGATGGGGGGGGAATGGTAATGGAGGGAGGGAGGGTGAGGTTGGAAATATGTGAGGAGATAGAGATGGAGAATAATAAGGGGGGGTGGGAAATAGGTTAAGGGGGGGAATAAATGTAGAGAATATGTGGGGGAGGGTATAGTGAATAATAGGGGGGTGGGAGGAATGGGTGAAGGAAAGAATATGAGGGATAAAGATGGTGGGGGGGTGAGGAGATGGGAAGAGGGGATATTAAGTATAAGGGGGGGGGGGGGGGGGTGTGAGGGAAGAGTGAGAGAGGGGAGATGGAAGGGAAGGGATAATGGTGGTGGAAGAGGGAGGGAAGGTGGAATAAAGGGAGTGAATGGGGGTGGTAGGAGGGTGTGATGAATAGGAGGGTGAGAAGGGGTATGAAGGGTGGGAGGGGAGAAATGGTGGGGGAGAGAAGAATATAAGAAGATGAGAGAATAGGAAGTTATGGATAGGTGTAGATGAAGGGGGGGGGAAGGAGAATGGTGGTGGTGGGTGGGGGTGGGGGGAGGAAGGTATGGGAGAGATATAGATAGTGAAGAGAAGAAGAGGGTAAGGTAGTATGAGATGGAGGTGTGGGGGGTTAAAAATGGATGGGTTGGTAGGGAGGGGGGGGTTATGAAGGGAGTTGAGAGGAAGGGGGAAAAGGGGTGGAAGATGGGGTGATGGGGTGATAGGGGGATGGGGGAGGGTGGAAAGAAGGGGGAATAGAAGGTAGAGGTGGTGGGGGGGAAGGAGGGAAGAGATAAGGGAGTGGGGAATGGGGAAGGGGGTGTAAGGGAGTGTATGGGGTTAGGGAAGATTAGGATGAGTTTGGGTGGAAAGATGGGTGTGGAGTGAATTAGGTGGGTATTAATGGGGATAGAAGTGTATACATGAATGATTCTGTAGATGAGAGAGATTGAATGGTGGGGGTAGATTGGGGGAGAATGGATGTAATTAGGTGGGGGGGGATTAGTTGAAAGGTGTGGAAAGGGGTTAGGGGGTTATAAGTAATTCAATGACATTCGAATGATACATGTGTGTGATGCAGTGAGTACGTAGAGTGAAGGTATTAAAGAAACTGGGATGGATAGGGTGGGTGGGGATGTACGCAGTAGTGTATATTTGATGGTATAATGGGTGGAGGTGGGTGATAAGAGTATATGTGTAAATAACATGGCCATTGATGGCTGGTGATCATGATAGTGTGTAATTTTGCCAACAAAAGTATATTAGAAGATTTGGATGGAATTATTTAGGAAATGTGGTGTGTGAATTGGGTTGGAAGTTGGGAGGGAGGGTATGATAAAATGGTTATGGGAATGAGTGATGGTAAGTTTGTAGATAAGTTAGGTTTAGAATGGTAGGGTGATTACAATATATCTATGGATGGTTACTTGTATTGTGCTGCTAGAAGGGACTTGGTGTGATGGGTGTAAGGTGAAAGTGTGGAATTGGTAAATTATCGAGGGAATGGGATGGAATGTTTTTATTTAAAATGTGTATAGTATAGTGTATCATATGATGGTTTATGGAGTCTGTGACGGTGGTAGGTGAGAAGATATAAGGGAATATAATGAATGTGGGTGATATATGTTGATGTTGCGGAATAGTATAAATAGGTTCATAAAAAAGGTGGATGTGTTTAATATAGGGATATGATACAAGGTTGTTATAAAAGGACTATGTAGTGAAAGGATAATGAGATGGTGGGTTGAGATATTTAATGTTATAAATTATGGATGATTTGATAGGTTGGGGGTAAGAGGGGTGGAGGAGGGGAAAAGGGAGTGGTGGAAAGTTGGTGTTGGATGGTTATTGGTGATTATGGTTTGGAATTAGAGGGGTTATGGAGGGTAATGAGGAGAAAATAAGAGGAGAATAAGTTACAACGATTATTAATGTGTGGGGTTAATTGGGGGATTGTAAAGAATATTATGGAATTTATAATTTACATGTAGGTTCATTTTTATTAGGTTTGAGGTTCTGAAGTAGATAAAATGAAATTAAAGGGAGGAGGGATGGGATGGATAATTGATCATGGGTGGAAATGGGGATTATGGATTATTGGGGAGTTTGTGGTAGTATGATTTAAAATAGTGATTTTAGTTTGTTATAGATTAAGTGAGGTTGGGGATATTGTGTTAATGGGAAAGTATGGTGATTTTTATAATTTGAGTTAGTGTAATGGGTAGAAAACTATTTTTTGTTATAATATTAGTTTTCTGGTATATAGTAGATTTAACTGAGAAATTATGTAAGTATTGTTGTGATTGGTGTGGTTTCTTTAAGGGTATGTGGGGTTGTTGGTGATGGGGTTGTGAATGTAGGATAATAATTTAATATTTGATGTTTTTGATATTTGAAAGGGTATATATGGGTAGGGTGTTTAGAATGATGGTGTGTGAATTGGTTATTTGGGGGTGTTTTATGAGGAGGTGGAGAAAAATTTAATATGAATTGAAGGTATAGTGTTTTGGGTTTTTGTTGAGTTTGTTTTTGATTTTATTTTGTTTGTTTTGATGATAGTTGTTTATAATGAGAAATATTGGGTCTGGTGATGTTGTGTGTTGGAGGTGGTGTTGTATTGGTTGTATTGGTGGGGTGTAGATAAAATTAAATTTGTTGTTGTTGTGTGGTAAAATTTATGTAAATAAAAATTTAAATAGTTTATTTTGTGGTTTATGTAGGTATTATGTGATTTTATTGTGAGTATCAATTTAATAAAAGGTTGTTGGTAATGTTGGATTGTAATGAGTAGGGTGTGTGATATTGGGTGTAATAGGTATAAATTTTGAGAGGGAATGGTTGAAGGAGTTATGTGTGGAGGGATTAAAATAATAATAAATGTGTTGAAGGTAGAGTGTAAAGATTATAATATGGAAAATTATTAGAAGTAAGTACAATAAATACGGAAAGTAAATTTATTGTACATTTAATTAATATGTGTTGAATGGATTTGACAAGTACAACATTTTATGATAGAAATGGGTGAAATTTGAGGTGGGGGTAGATGTAAAAAAGGGGGGTCAGAAAGTTGTTGTTAAGTTTAATTTTTTTTGGGTTATTTGTATGGTATAATAAAGGTTAGTTTTTTGTTTTCTTTTGATTTTTTGTTTAAGAATTTCTTGTTTCAATTTGGTTTGTGTTGAGTAGGATTAAAATATTTTTTTTTGTTGGTATGTTGTAATTTAAATGATGGTATGAGGGATGTTATTTATTAATGGGAAGAAGAAATGGATTATGGGAATGGAATAATTTGGGGGTGAGTTTGATTTTGGGGGGGGTAGGATGGGGAGTGGGTTAGAGTGTAAATATGTATGGGGGTAGTGTGTGAGTATCTCAAATTATTGTGTTGAAGCATAGTGTGTTTTACGTGAATTTGAGGTGTTAAAGTGGTTGTTTTGAGAAAATCAATGTAGTGTTTCAATTGCGAAAGTGAGTGTGTCTTTGGGGGGTGTAAGGTTTTGGTATATGATGAATAATACATGAGAGATGAATAACCATGTAATTGTGGTGTTATTGTGGGGTGTAATTTTGTGGTATAAATGTAAAGGGTGT